AAAGCCATATGACCGTATGCCCTAATTAACAAGCTATGTAATATTTATTTTCCAAGGCTCCAAATCATGTGATATCAAGCAACAAACCACGTAACTTTATATGTCAAGTCATATGGTCATGTGGGGCTGACACACACATGATGTAACCCTAGTTTAAGGTATAAATAACAAAGTTAGGGTACTATTTTATGGCTTTTCTTCTTTTCCAATCCTTAGCAGTCACTTTTCATAAAAACTCTTTCTATAATTTATTATGAACAACTAAACTCTACTCTTGGTTGAATCAAGCTAAAGCTTTTGGTTAATCACTATGAGATTACTTGGTTTTATTTCTAAACTTATCTTTATTGGGTATTTTATGTTTTTCTGCATGATTGGTTCATAGTTGTATGATTAAATTAATTAAAGTGCATATTAGTTATTTAGTCATATTAGTTATTGCTAGCTAAGTATTCAAGTTTGTGTAATTGTTTATCTAAACTTACTTGTGGTGGTAACTAAGGGTTTATGATTATGTGGTGTTTATGTGGTGTTTTTGTTTAATCCTTTGGAAAACATAAAACAAGGTTATATCTTCTCTAGCACTTGAGAAAGTGGTTTAGCTTCACCTTTCTTTGTTATCTTATTGTTGTTAGTAGATTAGATCTATCTAGTGTTTACTAAGTTGTTCAATAACTAAAAAAATAATTAGGTATTGTATATTTAGTTAATGTCTAAGGAAAGAATAGGTCAACTTATATGTTGTTGTCTTACGATTCATATTCATATTTAGGATAAGTTAATTATTTAATCAATGATAAGTAACCAAACTAAAGATGGATACTGAAGTTCAACCAATGCCTCTTTAATATTGTTATGCTTTACTACTCTCTATTGTTTTCAATACTTCAAACACACAAACCCTCTTTTTACACTACAAGAATACTCAAACAACCAAAACAAACGATTGATTCCTTTTCCTTATGGGTTCGACCCTTAGTTTTTCCGATTACATAACCATGATTACAAGCTTAATAAGGATAAATATAAATTATTAATTTATTATGATATAACACATCATCAAATTTTAGCTCAGTTGGCAATCTAAAAGAGTGGTGTCATTGAGTATAACCATGGTTCTTGAGTTCTTATCGTCGAGTGACTTAGAAGAAGAAGATATGATGGTAGATCGAGCAAATAGGACATTAAAGGAGCTAGCTACTCTTGATCTTAATCAGCAACCCTTATGCATTGAGTTCTTGAATCTAGAGGTGGTGTTTGAGCTAAAATTAGGACTAATACACCTGTTTTTTAAATTTTAGGATTTAGGCTGGAGAAGACTCCCATAAATATTTAAAAGAATTTCATGTGTCTATTCAACCATGAAACTAGAAGGAATATCAAAAGAGTAGATCAAGTAAAGGGCATTTCCTTTTTGTTGGATAAGGATATTAAGGATTGCTTATGTGATCTTCCTACGGGACCAATTAACTATTAGAGTATAATGAAGTAAGCATTTCGATGAAACACTTTTCTTTTTTAAGAGCTACGAGTATAAGGAAAGAAATCTCTAGGATTCGATAGTTTACTAGAGAAAAGCTTTATAGCTATTGAGAGCGGTTCAAGAATTTGTGTTCCAGTACCCATAAGATCGGATATCTAATTAGCTATTGATTATTTATTTCTACAAGGGTTTGCTTTCTCTAGAGAGGATCATGATAAATGTGGCTAGTAGAGGAGTAATGATGGAAAAAATGTTCGAGGCTGTAAGGGCTTTGATATCAAACATAGCTACTAACTCATAGTAGTTTAGTGCAAGGATTGATCATGCACCAAAAAGGGTAAATAAGGTCAATATTTCGAGTTTAAAGCAACAAATGATAAAGTTAACTCTTTTTTTTTTTTTTGTGAGATAGATGGTGATTGGTAATCTACAAGTGGTTAAGACTTATAAAATTTGTTCTATTATCGAACACATGATAGATGTATGCCCGACCTTATAAGAGAGGCATATAGAACAAGTATATGTACCTAAAAACTTTAGAGATGGCCAACCAAAGCCATATGATCCTTACTCAAACACTTATAATCTTGGATGGAGAGATCACTCCAACTTGAGGTATAGGGAGAATAAATAAGGTAGGCAAACTTCTATCAATAAAGGTACCAACCTAGGCCTTTTCAACAATAAGACCTACCATATTCTAGAAATTCTATAGAAGAAACAATAAAGTCTCTTACTTTGAGCACTAAATAATTTCAGCTAAAGACTAGATCAAGCATTCAAAATCTAGAATATCAAATAAGTCAATTGGTGACTGTTGTGAGTCGTTTAGAGGCTTAAGCTAGAGAAAAATTACCATCCCAAAGGTGATAAATCCTAAGAAGAATGTGAGGAGAATGACCTTGAAGAGTGGTGCTCATGTGGAGCAATCAAGTAAGAGATTATTTGAAGTGCTTGAAGAAGGAAGAATAAAGGTGAAGGAAGAGAAGGAGAGCGCATCATAAACGGGGCTAAACATAGCCCTAAGGTAAATCTTGATCTTTCTACTTTATTTTTTATTGACCATGTGCCATTTCCTAACAGAGTTAAAGAAGCCTAGGAAAGAAGAGTTGAAGAAAAAGAAAGAAAAAGAGATTTTTGAGCTATTTAGTAAAATAGAGGTGAACTTACCTTTATTAGAGGCCACAAAGCAAGTGTCTCGATATGCCAAGTTCTTGAAGGATTTTTGCACCAATAAAAGGAGACCAAACATGAATAAAAAGGTAAAAATAGGAGAGATTGTTTTCATTGTATTGTAACCAAAAATCCCTCCTATGTGCAAAAATCCAAGTTGTTCAATATACCTTATCAAATTGGTAGTAAGAAAATAAAGAAGGCTATATTAGATTTAGGGGCATCAATTAATGTAATGCCACACTCAATATTGGTTCACTAAATCTAAGGCCTTTGAAAAATACAAATATGATCATACAACTGGTCGATCGCACTAAAGCTTACTTTGAGAAGGTATTGGAGGATGTTCTTGTGCGGGTGAACTAATTTGTGTTTCTAGTGGATTTCTATACCTTAAATATGGGAGAAAAATCTCCATATAACCCAACATCTCTCTTGTTAGGGAGGCCATTCGTAAAGATGACAAGAACAAACATAAACATCCACGAAGGAGCTCTCACCAAGGAGTTTGATGTTAAAGTGATTCGATCCAATATCCTCAATGAGGATAATACTAAGATGCAAGGAAGCTCAAGATCGAGCTTAATAATGAAAGATTTCACTTGACGGGGAAAGGTAAAGTCGAGTTAACGACGTTAAACAAAAACACCTATCTAGAGGTAGCCCAATGATTATTGTAAATTTTATGTCTTGCACTAAATTTTAAGTTAGTTATTTGATTTTGTGTTTAATTTTAACCTACACCTAACTTGATTGAAATGATGTGCAGCATAAGTAATTGAGTGTGTGGATTTAGTTGAATTTCCAAAGAACAAAGAAGAGACATACGGGCAATGGTAAAAGACATAATTTAGAGAAGAAACTCACACATTTGTGTGACTAGAAAAAGGCTAGAAATTAAAATTAGAGAGAAAGGCAACAAGGGCGGTAGCATTTTACATGTTATGCCAAGTTCTTGAAGGATTTATGCATTAACAAAAGGAGGCTAAACGTGAATGAAAAGGTAAGAATGGGGCGGAATGGTTGGCACATAATTTGTGCGGTAATCTTACACGATCGTATGAGTTGAATGGAGTTTTTTAGATTCCAAGAGACACGAGCGAGAATGGTTTTACATGGCTTACGGTGGGATTTCCACATGGCCAGTATGGAATTCAAAATGTTGCATTGGTTGAGGAAAAGAAAAGGTACACGAGCAAAAGAAAAGATATATGGTTTGTATATAAGTGTTACACGGGCGTGTCTCCTTCCAAGCCAAAAGTCACATGTTTTGTCCTCCCAAAACCTACCCCTATATAAACTAAACCCTAAGTCGTCCGAGTTAATCTTCTCAAAAGATCATATTGTACCACCAGTCTCTTCTTCTCTATTCTTTTTTCTCTTTCAAATCTACAAACCTCTCACATATAACTAGTCATTAAACCACCATTATAAACCACACCTCCATAAATCAACACTACCACTCCATCACAACCCACCAAAGAACCATTGTACCACTCAACTAAAGAACCCTCATCCTTTCTTCATCCAAAGCTATCCCAAAAACAACAATGTTTACTTCTAGAGATAAGAGAAAGCAAGTGGCAACACAACAAAGAAAGAACTAGCCATAAGGGAAGGCTACCCTTCTAGATCTTACCCCAAGATCGAGTTTGAAAATGAAAAGCAAGAAGCCCACTATAATGTTTTAAGCAATAAAAAGGTTATAGAAAACAAAGATATGGATGTTCAAGCTCTAGAGATTAAGGACTTGTTCAAAGAAGTGAAAGAGATGCTAGAATTAATTGGATGGGTAAATTTATTACGAATTGATGCTCCTTATTACAAGAAGTTAATATGGGAGTTCTTGAGTTCGTTTCGATTAGAAACAATAAAAGAGGAGCGACAATCGGCTTGTGATTATTTCAAGTCTCGGATCGTGAATAAATAATATAGTGTTGATGTAAATACAATGAAAGATATGTTTGGGTGGCCACATGGTGGTGAAAAGCGACCACTTGTAGGGTTTGAGAAGTCTTTTTGGAGGGAGATTACGGATTCATTGTAGGATGTATACAATTCATCGTGATCAAAAGCAACAACAATTATAAGCTCGACCTATCGGTACATACATCGGGTCCTAGCATGGACGTTTTATGAAAGGGATTTTTTTATATTATAATTCACTAATCTAAATTTTAAAAAGATAACATTTTTTGTGCTAGAAAATTTAAACCTCAATCTAAAATTATATATAAAAAAAAAACTCTAGAGGTTATTAACTTTAATAAAATAAATAAATTTTTTTCACAAGTATATATAAGTTTGATCAACAGTTCTGGATAGTTACACAAACTGGCAGTAGTTACTTACACAAACTCACATCGCTTACTTCCATTCCTTTGTAAACCCACTGATTAATTTTAGCACGCACTCTTTTGACTCGTGTGAGCAAAAAAACTGGAGAAAGAATAAAACGTACATGCACAATGACAGAGGCTCCACTTTTGGCTGAGCGATTCCCGGCAATAATATTTGCTGCTTTTGAAAGGATATGAAGGATTAAAGCAAAATCTGGATTTCGAAACTAAAAGGGTACTTTCTGGATGCTTAACCAAGTCATTTCCTTGACCGGCAAAACGGTATTGCAAACTTCCAATCAAGCTCCAAAAGATTCGTGTCTTGAAACTTGGGCAACTAACCAATAGAAAAGATGGCAGATACGTGGAAACAAGCTCCTCATCTTGATCATATTCATTATGCTCTTAGCATCTAGGGAACTACCAGAGGCAGTTCAAAATTTTCAGGGTGTTATATAGCTTCTCCATCTGTTTTAAAAAAATCTTCACACATTCAACTGTATTTTGCATCAAAACAAAAGGAATGCAAGAAACAGAGAAAAGATAACGAGAAACAGAAGGAAGGTCAACAATGATTAATCGATAGATTTACATTAACTTTATAATAAATTATCTTATAAAACAATATTAATAAGTCAAAATTTTTGAATTTTAAAAATCTATTAACTCCAAATTTGATAAGAACCCTAACTATAGGGAGAGAGGGCAAAAGAGAAAGAAAAAAAGAAAATAGCAATCGAATTGTGATAAAAAATAATTTAATGACATCGTTTATCTTTCTCAGTTACAAAGATGGATTGATTTTTTGTGGAATAAAAAAATAATTTTATTATTTTATTATCTAGTTAGAAAGATGGATTGATTTCTAGAAAGAGATTAACTTTATATAAACAAAAAGTATTATATAATTGTTTGAATTAGCTATTGTTTCATAAAAGTGTATATTGATTATAAAAAAATTATAATTAAACTTAAATTGACATGGATAATTAACCTTACATGTAAAAAAGCTTTAATTTAATAAATAAGATTTAAAGTGACTCATTTTTATAAATAAGATTTTAAAGTATCTTAATTTGAAAAAAAAAAAAAAACTCCATCTCTCTTGACTTTGATAGGAAATATTTTATGACATAAAAGGAGACTTAAAAAGTGCAAGTATTTTATCGTTTTAGGGAGAGAAAAATAGTACTTTTCCCATCTGTGGATTCGGCTACTCGGGTGGGTGCAGCCTGTGTCTGACCAGTCTCGAACCGGCTTAATAGTTGACACGCAAACAGTTTCCTCTTCTTTTTGCCTGCTTAAAAGCTGGAAAAAACCTCAAAAGCACACTCCACCCCTGCAGGGACGCAAAAACCGAATTACACGACCCTTCAGCGTCATTGTACCTGATCCACCATGTCCCTAGCCATCCAAAAGCAATCAAAAGTTTGTGACTTTTAAAATATCACGTGTTAAAAATGTTATTTTTTTAAGACAAAATCTTTTTTTTTTTGATGAATCTTAGGCAAAATTCTGAGAAGGGTATTTGTTAAAACTCTGAACTCGGCATCTGAGAACATTGGTTACTGGGATTAAAATCATGGAAGATAGCAAGTACGCTAAAGAATTGGACGTGGCGGTTAGAGTTGTTCACATGGCTTGTTCTCTTAGCCAGCGAGTGCAAGAGGGCTTGGTTTCTTCCAGTAGTAATGACCAAGTTAAGGCTAAAGATGATGATTCTCTTGTTACTGTTGCAGGTACTTCAATTCTGCGTTTTTATGTAGGTTTTTTGGGTTGATTTTTTTTTTTTCTTTTTTGTGTGTGTTTTAATGGATGTGCTTTGAATGAGATTTTTGGGTTCATGGGGTGATCTGCATTTGTAATGTGGTTTTGGTACATGTTTATTTTGGTCTAGATGGGTTTTTTGGTTGCTGAGAAAGAGTGGGATTGGAAAAATTGACCATAGAAATTATCAAAATTCGATTGATTGGAAATTTTCACGCTATGATATTTTCATGTGAAATGCAATTAATTATTTGGTGTTAATAAAATTCTGCTTTAGCAGTTTCAAAACTAAGAATGTTTTGTATTCCCGGTAAACAAGCTCAGCGTTCATTTTAGTGGCATGGTTGCTAATAATTCCACGGCCAAGTGCTGTGCTTCTAAATCTATTAGAACGTCTTAGCATGCTCTGTGGAATTGGTTAATTGTTGGATTCTTACTGGGAAAACCTTATGTTTTCGAGCAGTGGGCTATATGCTTGAAACCTGTTTTATTAACAGAAAAGAGAAATTGTTTATTTGGGAATGTTTACCTTTAGCCTATAAGGTAATTTTTTTTTTAAAAAAAAAATATGTTTTCGGTGATATTATTAATTCAATACGCGCTTCATATCATCACATCTGTTGAACGTTGAGTAACTTGTTAGTGCATCTGCCAAAATGAATACACAACTATGTCAGTAATTGTATCGAACTTACCTGTATACTAATCAACGTTAGTAATCATACTTCCCTTGAACAACTTGAGAAGATTAAGGATTTAGTTAATCACAGAGTATTGGAGCACCCTTGGCCAGAAGATGCAGTATCTCAATAAAATGGGTGGACTTGATATGAGAGTCTAGAGAGGGATCGCAGTTAGCTGCTTCAGTTGTGTATTGTAACCATGAGAATTGAGGTTAATGCTTGCTTTGTTACATTATAGCCTATTAGGATTACCTTTTTAATAATCCTCTGGTGTTGATAATTCAGCAATTTATTAATGGGACGTGATGCTTATGGTGTGCCTAATCACTTCTAGGCTTATTCATGCCAGAAGATCTAATTTCCAATGTATCTTCTTCATGTCATGCTCTGTTCTTTGTGTTTATTTCACCTGGTGTCAATGCTTGAGCAGATTGGAGTGTTCAAGCAACAGTTAGCTGGATGCTGTCGGAATCTTTTTGCAATCAAAAGGTTTCCATAGTTGCTGAAGAAGATGTTCAAACTCTCTCAAAGTCCGATTCAGTTGGTTTGCTGACAGCTGTTGTGAAGACTGTGAATGAATGCTTAGCTGAAGCACCAAAATATGGTCTTCAGGGTCCCAGGAATGCTCTTGGAGCTTCAGAAATCCTTGAGGCCATAAGCCGATGCAACTCAAGTGGGGGACGCAATGGAAGGCATTGGGTACTCGATCCTGTCGATGGAACATTGGGATTTGTGCGTGGGGACCAATATGCTGTAGCTCTAGCATTGATTGAAGAGGGAAAAGTTGTGATTGGAGTTCTAGGGTGCCCTAATTACTCTACGAAGAAAGAATGGCTCAATCATCATCATCAGTACTATCAGAGCATGCCAAAATTGTCTGATACTTCTGATAAATGGGAAAAAGGATGTGTGATGTATGCGCAGAGAGGCAGTGGTGAGGCATGGATGCAGCCATTAATACATGGAGATCAGAAATTTAATTGGTCAGATTCGTCGCAAAGGGTCCAAGTTTCTCCCATTGATGATCCAGCACTCGCAACCTTTTGTGAACCAGTGGAAAAAGCTAACTCGAACCATTCCTTCACTGCTGGAGTTGCTCACAGCATGGGGCTTAAGTATGTTATACTTCTTTTACTTTTCCCTATATATTTGGAGTTACTGCATGGTTGAAATGATTGCTCAAACGATGTTGACTTTGAAAGATTGAGAAATGGAAAATGGAACTTTTAAGGTCTAAGAGGTTTAAATGACCGTTATTTTCAACAATTAATGCTCAATTGGAGAGGAGAAATATTAAAGTTTTGTTTCAGCTAGTTCCTTGATGAAGTTTTGAAGAAGGCTTTGTCACAGAAAGTACTAGCAGAAGGGTTAGAGTACATCTTACATAAACTTTTAAGCTAAATGATTGCATGTTCGTGTAGTAGTCAGTCTGGTAGCAATGGCTGCAAACCTGAAGAATGCTTTTTAATTTGTAGTTAGGTTATGAAAAAAAAACTTGGACTTCTATGTTGTCCAAGTTCCTGGACTTAAGATATTAGATGAATAACAGAATATAACTGCCTCAAAGCAACAATTATAGGTAAGTTACCTTATATTATTTTGAATTTCCCAACAAATGCTTTATGCATACCTTCAAGCATGATTTACATGTTATATCATGCTAAAGCTTTTATAAGGGGAAAGAATACACATTCCTTTTTCTCATTTCTAGTTATTTCTTTGATTTTCAGTTGCTTTTCCTTTTTAGTTCAATGAAAAGTTTTTAATGCAAGAGCCTGCCTACCTCGGATCCATTTACAACCATGTGGGTGGGCTTTCAAAATTTGCTGGGTTCCTGTTCTGTTTTGGCCCTCATATATTCCTTTTACACTCTAATGGCAGAAAACAGCCCTTGCGCGTCCATAGCATGGTGAAATATGCAGCCATAGCTCGAGGTGATGCTGAAATCTTTATGAAATTTGCTCGGTCAGGGTACAAAGAGAAGATATGGGATCATGCTGCTGGGGTTATCATTGTAGAAGAGGCTGGTGGTGTGGTAACTGATGCTGGAGGTCACCCCCTGGATTTCTCAAGGGGTTTGTACTTAGAAGGTCTTGATAGGGGCATAGTTGTTTGCTGTGGGACCACCTTGCATGAGAAGCTCATTGGAGCTGTTTATGCTAGTTGGGAGTCTTCGAATCTGTGAAGCCTTCTGAATTTTCGTGATATTCTGATGCAACATAATTTCCATGCTCCTGGGAGGGTAAGTCCATCTCTACAAGTTATTGTTTTGCATTGTTAGATGCTTTTTTAATTTCTCTCATGGCTTGGAAGCAACTGAAAAAACTTTTGGAGTTGAAATTAGTTCTCTCATATAATTTGTGATGCAGGACAGCTTGGGGGGTTGTTCTAGATATGAGTTTGGAGGTTGTTTAGATTTGTATTGGGTGGTATTAAAGTCACACAAATAGGATTTCTAGGAGCCAGACCTGGAGGATAGAAAAACCTAAGCTTCACACTTAGGGTTCTTAGGAGTCACACCTAAGGGAGATTGAGTTACACAATCAAAAGAAAATTGCTGGGATTTTTTCATAAAATGTCATTCATAATATTGAAAATCTGCGTAATTTATAGAGTTCTAGTAGTCCAAATTCAATAAGGAATTAGATTCGTAAATAAGAAATACTAAGTCTATGTAGAATAGTAAAAAACCTAATAAAGCAAAGTACTCCTTATGACTAATAAAATACTAAATAGAAAACAAAACCTAGGCTAAGACAAATTTCCAGATTTTCTAAAATTATAGAAATATCCTTATCTATAAAAAGACACAAGTTTTGCTTCCTGGTTGGAGAAAACTCTACCTCGAGTTTTGAAGTGTTGAAGTAGTAAAAACCACATAACTTGTAATGTCATCCTTGCCTTGATGCAACACCCTTGAAATAGGAACCAAAAATTTTTCTTTGTTGCTGATAGTAATGATGATGTGAAATTTTTATTATCAATTTCACCATCAAAATCAGGAATAATGAAGTCCATTTGTGTTGCCAATACCACTTTCTCCTAGCTAAAAGTGTGCTCAACATGTTTCTTCTTTGGTTCAGCTCCACCAAGCGTAACACATAGCTCTTAAGGCTTTATAATAACCTGATTAGAGAATTCCTTTTCTTCTCTTTCACTATCCACATTATTGCAATCTGAAATTCCTTTGTTTCTTTTTGAATCTTCCTTTTGGGAAACAATTCTGAATTTTTTTTATCAACAAAAATATGTTGTGCTATGAGAGTTTTAGTGGTTGTTTCATCAGGATACTTGCTCAGGATAGCCTTCGTCAGCCTATTTAATGCTGCTTGCTCCTTATCGAATCTGGCAGTAATAGATTTTTCCATTGAATTCAACATAGCTTCTGTAGAATTCAGTCTTGTTTCTAAATCTTGCTTGAAGGTTTTGAATTTTGATTTCAATTCAGTAGCAGTTATCATGGTGGAAGTACAACAGAGCAAAAAAATTTTTAGGATGTTGAATCTCTGATACTGCAGGACAGCTTAGGGGGTTGTTTTGGATCTCAGTTTGGAGGCTGTTTAGGGTTGTATTGGATTGTGTTATAGTGGATTTCCAGTGGGAATTGTAGAACTATTAGAGTCACACTAATAGGTTTCTAGGAGTCACATCTAAAGGATAGAAAAGCCTAGGATTCTTAGTAGTCACCCCTTTGGGAGATTGAGTCATCCAATCAAAAACAATTTGCTGGGATTTTATTCATAAACAGTCATTCATAATATTGAAATTCTTGTTTTAGTAGTCCAAATCCAATAAGTATTTAGATTCCTAAATAAGAAAATACTAAGTCCATATAGAATATGAAAAAACCTAATAAAGCTAATTAGTTCTCAGGACTAATAAAATACTAAACAAAAAATAAAACCTAGACTTGGACAATTTTCCAGTTTTCTTGAGATTACAGAAATATCTTTGTCTACTAAAAGACAAAAGTTTTGCTTCCTTTGTTGTCTGCATCAATGCGGCAGCAATAGATTTGGTTTAATTCAACGTAAAGATATTAGAATAACTTAGGTAGAACGTAATAGGTAATGGAGAAAGAAAACCCATGACAGTTACCTTAAGACATATTGCACTTGATTAGTGAGTGTTTTAACAGATATGAAATTACTGTGATCTGTTCTCAGAATGACAAATGAGGAATTAATTTGTTTTAAAAAAATAAAGATTAACTAGGAAATTTTCCAATGTTGTGTGTCAGATTGCTGGTGCCAAGTTGACCTGAAAAATTTTGTTGCCAAATTGGTCTCCATGTTATATGAGCTTGAATTTGAATATGAACACAATTCACAGTACTTCAAGGCTCATCTTTCTCACATCTGTTTTTTATTTTTTTAAACCTATTTCAGGGTTGATAATGCATAATCACTAAGACAGTGATTTTATACTATGCTGTCAGAGTGAAGCAACTATGACTCATCAGCTTGGAGATAGAAGCTATTCAACCAGGTTCTGTAAAATAATAATAATAATAATTTGCATTTCACAGCATTATTCATGTTGAAATGCTTAATATATCATCAGTGATATATCTACTATGATGATTTAGACCTGATGAACATTTGGCACGGTTAACTTACATTTCAATGCAGAGCTGAGTGCTCCTGCATTACTCTGACTGTTTCCATTTGACAAATTCCAACATTTAAGTATGGATGTTGCTGTTTTGCAAGCTTACCTATGTAAATGTAAGCTCGCATGCATTGCCGATGTTAATTCAAAGCTGTTGTTCTCTCACTCCCCCTAGTTTAATTGTCTGTAGCTCATGACGATTTCCGGGGCCTCCTGCTAGGCTGGGAAACAAATTAAACAGTTTGATTGTTAGATCTGGAAACTGATATATTTGTGGAGCATCAGCAAGCGAATTGAGTGGCATATTTTAAATGTAAAGTCGTTCTTGTTCATCTCGCGGGAAAAATCCACCCCGAGTGGCATTTGGGGCTACCCTGGTTGGATTATCTTTTATCACCACATATAATTACGTTAAGGTTGTCCCATCTTTCTGTGTCATGAGTTGCCTTTTCAGCCTCTCAAATTAAAATTCACTCCTATAACGTTCTCTCCTTTAAGCTTAGCAATGCATGCTGAACAGTACTATGAAATTAACCAAGCCAGATTGTCCATTTGCTTAGGACCTAGTTGGACACTACTGGCCCAGAATTGGCGGCCCATGATACCAAATGTAGCTTTTTTATTATTATTATTTTTTTTCAATAAGGTTCCCAATGGGTCTACTCTTGTGGGATGGCCATACTCTATCCTTAAATCTCATCTTATCCTTTCTAGAATTTCAATCCAAGGCTTCCAAATAGAAATTCTAAACCACGATAGAAAAATGTAATTTAAAATGGTTTTATTTGTCCCATGCCATAGAGATCCAAAAATTACTGATATGCACCTCAGACTGAATGTTACGCGAAAGACTATGAGGTAAAAGTTCAAAATTACTTGAAAGTCAAAAGCCACAAATTTTAAAATAAAAAATGGGCTTTAACAATGTATATTTCCGGACATTTCTTATGACCAGAAGCGCAGTTACAACTGTCGGTGATAAAAGCTACAGCTATAGCAGTGAAACTAGGTAAATGCCATCGTTATACCAAAGGAAACCTTTTTGTTTCTCACAAATCACAATCCACTGCAAGATACGGGTTGAAATTGTGCACAGCCCGCTATTCCATTTATTTAAAAATATCCTCGTTTGACAAATTCCCATCGAACTTGAATATTTCGGGCAAATTTAGAATATTTAGACAGAGAGCCTGTCATCGACTAACAAGACTAGTTTGTACCAAAGTCAATGTTAGGTAAGATGTGTTAGATAGCTCTTGGTTTAGGAGGCCAAGCACTCGAAATACCGTCTAAATTCTTGACTAATGGGTATGATAATGCTCCTCTATGAACATTGTTCTAGTGGTCCCTGTGGGCTATATATATACATATATATGGGAATTAGAAAATTTTCTAACGTTAGTCATAGTCATGGAAATTAAAGGGAGAAGAAGAAAGAATCAATGTTTTTGTAATTCAACTACTATATATTGTAGGGCAACTGGCAACGTTAGTCGATATTAATTCTTTCAAATTCAAAAGATGAGAAGAGATTTCACGGAAGAAAAAAGAAAGAAAAAGGAGAGGAGATATTACGCGTTTTCAAGATATGGTGGACTTTTTCTTTCTGCTTTTTAAACATGTTTTACTTTTAACGATAATCAGCCTTTTGTATTAGTTATATGGTTGTAGATGACATCAAATTGCACACAAATTTGCATTGAATTGGCTGTACCACTTGCTACATTATATGCTTTTAGCTGATGCATGAGATATTGCACATTTAAAAATCTAGTTTTTATTGTTTTTTACCTAGTACCAAAAAAAAAAAAAAAAAAAAAGGTTCTACTTACAGGCAGCGCCACCAGTTTCATAATTTTGAACTATAGCTAGCTAGGTTGTGTGCTCTCTTTGGATCAAGCAAGTGAGGGAGAATATGGTTAAATATGCAAGAGAATTTATTAAATTCTTATTAATGCACTAAATGATTCAGATAATGTTTTTTGAAGGTGATTTGAAGAATAGATTTATTCAAAAATATTTTTTAACATAAAAAAAATATATATATAGAACCATTATCCCTACAAATTCTTTTACAAAGAGGGAGAATATGGAGTCGATTGAATGACGCACCATGTAGCATCTTCAGAAGACACGTACACGAATGAATTTGCAACTATTTTGGATATAGTTGGTACTCTTTGATGGTTGGTTAGTGGAGAATAGCTTAATTAATATTGGAGTCAACTTATCTTTAAGAGTACATGCATGTAAAAGTGTAAATTACATTTTCTTGTATTATTAAATAGAAAAAAAGATTCCAAATTCACGTTGTAGTGAGTTTCATGATATCTATATGGAATATAGTATTAAGTATGTGATATTGACCTTCCCCAGTAAATTAGATCCGTTGTAATGATCTAAGTCGTGGGTTTGAGAGCTATGCCGACACCACACAGTGTTTAGAGCTACTGTTTGTTTTCAAGAAGAATATCAACATGGTCTCATGGTTCCAGAAGAAATGCTTTCTTTTGGAAATCAGTGAAGTGAATTAAGAATGTAGATGTGTTGGCAGAATTGAAATACACAAAAGAATGAAGATGGTGACACACCATCACCTATTCTCAACCATCAAGAGCCAATAGTTAGGTGATCATTCTCTTTTAAACAGAGGGGAGAAAAAAATTACCCTTAATGATGTATTTCCTTGCTCACAATATTAAAATCAAATTAATTACCAAGTGCTAGCTAGCAGCTGGGAGTCTTTAGTTTTGATTTTCCATAGCAAGGATCCCCGCAAATGATATATAGTAATAACTTCCCAATATTAATCGTATTCATCACCATTATTATAATTAATATCCTTTATTTTCCTGATGATGTATTATTAATTTCCTCTCTTCTAATCAACCTTTGCCCAAAAAAAGAAAAAAAAAAGAAAAAAAAAGAAAAAGAGCTTAAAATCCTGCAGGTATTCCATATCTTGTGGTGAAAAAGAGGGAAACTTTCATTGATGGGTATGATATGAAGATTCTTATGTTATAAATAGTAATTCATAGTATCTCCATCGGACAAAAATGGACCTAAGTATTCATTAAGAAAATATAAATATAAACAGTAGTAGTTCAAAACAGTCAAACTCAAACTCTAAAAATTACTCTCTCCCTCTCTCTAAGATTCTTGATGTTATAAAAAGTAATTCATACTTGTCTAGATCGGACAAAGATGGATCTAAGTATTCATTATAAGAAAATATGAATATAAATAGTAGCGAGTTCAAAACACTCAAACTCAAACTCCGAAAATGACTCTCACACACACACACTCTCTCTCTCTAAAATACAACGCGGCTAATAAATAAGCAAGTCTATTTATAGATATTAGGAAACACCTTGGAAGGGAATGAAAAGTGCATGAATGGTTGAAAATACATGAATGACTCGCTTCATAAAAAATTGCACCACCTCTTCAATTTATGCATCTATATTTTGCATGCATGCATTTTAATGAGTCTAAGACCATATTCTTATTTTCCCAACAAATCTTCTCTTTTAGTAGATATGGGAACAAAAGTTGTAAACCACTTCCTTAAGGGGAAAACCACACAAAAATTGATCTAGTCTTTTTTACGAAAACCTTGAAGGATAAGCTACATCTATTACTGAACATGAATCAAGTTCGAGCAATGTTGGAACTTCGGTATTAGAACATGTTTTGTTATCATATATATGGATTATTTGATCTAGGAATTTTTTTTTTTTAATGCTAATAGATTTTCAAATACAACATCTCAAATGAAGTGATACTTGAAATCAATATATTTGATTCTTTCTTGATACATTTGAATTTTAGTGAAGTGTATCATACTTTT